CATCGTGATTGTGGCGTATTGTGTTCGATGTCCCGCTAATAGATACGTGAATAGACTGCAACACCTCTAAAATTTAAGAAAATATTACTGTATTACTGTTAAATTCTATTTTCTATTCGCGGTATGTCTTATGATCACGGTCTGTGCCCTGAATATCCCGCCACGTAATTACTGGCAGCGCGAGCCAGTTACTTATAGTAACTTATAGTAACTGGCTCGCGCTGCCAGTAATTACGCCGCGGGATATTCAGGCCACAGACCGTGATCATAAGACATACCGCAAATAGAAAATAGAATTTAGAAAATAGACATTGCATGTGAACGAAGCCTTATTCTGTTAAATTCAATACATAAATATATAATATTTCCCTTAGGTTTGATAATTTACTTTACCTATGGCATACGTCACAGTGCTGAAAACCGGGCACTGTCTTCCTACACACAAATTATCCGCTACTCCGGAGACGCGACAGCAGACGACCAAGTTAAAGGCATGGTAAACGCCTTAGAGACGCAGCCCGTGCAGGATGTTAAGGAGGACGACGATGGGAGGAATGCTACGGGAACGGAGAATGCTTCTGGAGGGGAGAACCCATCGGGAGAGCCAGGTACAACGGCTCCGACGGACGACATGGAACGTACGGAATAGCTCGTACTTCTTCGGATTTCTTCTCACACACTCTGATATTTTGCAAGCATGTTAGAATCACTTGCACTCGGCTTGGATTTTCATTTTTCGGAATTTAGCGTGTTATATTCGGGATTGGCGAAGTTATACGGAGATTGACGAGTATTTACGACAACGCTGCTGTTCAAGCGCACCAGACTAAACCTTGTGATTTTTAAGACTGATGTTTATAGGTGCTATATTTTCTTCATCATAGTCTTTACATACATTTCTACTACTTATACCTTTAAATCACTGTTCCTTGATATTTAAATATATTAAAAACATCTGATATTATATAAACGTATGTTATAAGCATAGCAGGAACTGCAAAAGATCGATGGGCAATATGTCTTGCCAGAATGAACACCAGAAAGTGGGCCAGAGAAACACCAAGAGATCGAAAAAGACCAAAGAAAAGNTTATGTGTAAATATTAAAAATGTGGAAAAACCATGACGCTGATATTGTATTTATATGCCACTTTAATATTGCATTATTTTCATTATTATTATTGTTGTTGTTGTTGTTGTTGTTGTTATTTTTAAAGATTTAATTATCTTTTTTTCTATAATCTATTTGTCATAAACTCATCTCTAATGAAAATTAATTTGAAGTTCTCACCCATATTGTAATGTTTCCTTCGTATCCAGATGAAGTTCAAAACCTTTGTTTGTTGTAATTGTATTTATAGTCTAAAATTTAGTATTGTCCAATGAGTTAAATAAAGTTTAAATCTATCATAAAATGAACATTGTAAGTTCTAAAATCTGACATCTAATGAAACAATTTTACATATGGTAATCTTTGTTTCCAGATCCCGCTTGTTCCCCTGTTACCTGCTGCCAGTATGTTTGTTAACATTGCAATGATGCTGAAACTCTCCTATCTTACCTGGATTAGGCTGGCTGTGTGGATTGCAGTAGGTGAGACATCGCGATTGTGACGTATTGTGTTCGATGTCCCCGCTAACAGATTTTACGTCAATAGGCTGCAACACCTCTAAAAATTAAGAAAATGTTACTGTCAGGTGTGATTCTAATGTCTATAACATATAGTCAGCAACTGATGCTCTTAACCATCTTTAATGTTGATAATGATGAGAAGCAGGATGTTGGGCGCGCCTTCTGATACTTATTCCCTTAACTCCTGAAATTTAATACATAAATATATAATTTTTCCCTTAGGTTTGATCATTTACTTCACCTATGGCATACGTCACAGTGCTGAAAACCGGGCACTGTCTTCCTACACACAAATTATCCGCTACTCCGGAGATGCGACAGCAGACGACCAGGTTAAAGGCATGGTAAACGCCTTAGAGACGCAGCCCGTGCAGGATGTTAAGGAGGACGACGATGGGAGGAATGCTACGGGAACGGAGAATGCACCTGGAGGGGAGAACCCATCGGGAGAGCCAGGTACAACGGCTCCGACGGACGACAGTGAACGTACGGAATAGCTCGTACTTCTTCGGATTTCTTCTCACACACTCTGATATTTTGCAAGCATGTTAGAATCACTTGCACTCGGCTTGGATTTTCATTTTTCGGAATTTAAATAGCGTGTTATATTCGGGATTGGCGAAGTTATACGGAGATTGACGAGTATTTACGACAACGCTGCTGTTCAAGCGCACCAGACTAAACCTTGTGATTTTTAAGACTGATGTTTATAGGTGCTATATTTTCTTCATTATAGTCTTTACATACATTTCTACTACTTATACCTTTAAATCACTGTTCCTTGATATTTAAATATATTATATTAAAAACATCTGATATTATATAAACGTATGTTATAAGCATAGCAGGAACTGCAAAAGATCGATGGGCAATATATATGTCTTGCGAGAATGAACACCAGAAAGTGGGCCAGAGAAACACCAAGAGATCGAAAAAGACCAAAGAAAAGATAAATAGATGACACTGAGCAGGCCGCAGTGCATGGACGCATGCGGCACTAAATCGTCAAGCGTGACGAAGTCTGTGGAGGCCACCTGCTAACAGTGGCGTGACAGGCTGAGATGAATGAATGAACGAATGTGCCATTTGTGGCTTGCTTACATAAGGATTAAATCAAGCAGAAAATAGACGTCATCTAACGTCACAACCGCTAAATAGGAAACCAAAGATATAATTTAAATCACAAATGTGTTGCAGGATGAAACATGCTCCTCGACTCCATTATGCCATTACTCACTGCCTTGTTAGAATTTGTGTTTATATCTGCTCCTTTAATGTGAAAAAATGCTCAACAGACCAAAAACCAAAAACATATGTATGGTTTAGTTATTCAAAATAATTTATTTTATGAATAGAAGATATATGTACCAGTACATGGAGAATGTAATTTACGTTTTTTAATACATAAAAGTCATTGACCGAATGGTATTGAAACAATTTTCTAAAAAATTGAAAAAATATTTTTTGTACATATTATATAAAAAACGCACGGAATGTTAATGAGAATAGAGACTTGGAAAATCACCTGGTGTCTTGCGTGTGGGAAGTCACTATCACGCATGTACCCATTTTCAACTTCCGTTCTACGCCACCGTCAGTTATATCTTTAATAGCGTTGAACGTTTTTTGACTAATTTGTATCAGATACAAAAAAGATTTCCTTTCAGCATATTCATGATATTAGAATGTTTTTCCCATAATATGTCCAGTCTTTTTTAAATGGGGCAAAGAGAAGAGAACTTGCAATGATAATCATGATTGTATTAAAAATATACATGTACATGTATATTTTGAGTACATAGAAAAAATATTGACATCTATCTTCAGCAAAAAAAAAATACTATTAACAAAAACATTTGGGATGAAAAATATATCGAATGCATAAAAAAATAATATAAAAATGCAATGTGCTTGTGCTTCTAATACTTTTATCAAAGTAATGTTCGGTGTGGCCTTTATATACCCGTAGTACATGTAGGCCTACTAGGCACGGTTACGTACGACGTTTATTGAACCCATATCATTGTATTATATTGATTATTTTCAATTTTCATCTTACAGCACAAAGCATATATTATCACGTACAATGAAGAAATATTTAGCTCTGTGTCCCTAATTTCAATTTTTACAATACACTGGGGTATTAAATCACTGGCCTTATATTCGATATACCGGAATGTGCGATATCAAGTGTTAAACCGATTGAAATAAGAAAAAAGTCAATGGAATCGACTCCCATCAGACAGTAGAGATTTGAGAATCCACCACCTCTTTCGAGTCCTCATCTGGCGGTGCAGTTTTATTCAGAGCTTCTTTTTCCTTTTCGTCAGCTCCCTTCACCGGTTTGCGAATACACTTCTTATATATCAAATACCCGATCACCCATAGCATCAAAGGTAGAGGGGTAAAAATGGCAGCCCCGATGGGTGCAATGCAAGCAATATCCCCTTCCGGCGACGGCAATGAAAAACGAAGCAACACCACAGCGACGCCGACATTTTGAATACCAGTTTCTATAGCGACAGTTTTGATGCGTTCCCATGACTGCCGCGTTGCCAAGGTTACGAGGCCTCCCGCAATGAACCCGGCATACGGCAGCAGGCATCCCGCAATGATAACTTTGTTGGAGAAAAGCTTGAACATGTAGAGATTGGCATAGATGCCGGCTGTGAAGAGGAAGATGATGCAAATGACTGAAAATGGTTTGATGACTTTCAAGATGATTTTGGCGGCTCTGTCACTTTTGTACTTGATAGCCATCCCGATGACCACTGGGATGATAATATAAGCCAGAGCCTGGACTATATTCACGAATGGAATCGTGACCTCGTGTCCATGGAGTAAGGTTTGACCGAGGGTGAACATCCAGAAAGGGATCATGGCTGAAAGTAACAGTTCAAACATGCGCATGTCAAAAAATCAAAAGTATTTAAACAACAAGGCAAACTTAGAAGATGCAATATATCTCTGCAGGTGTTATTTGCTTCAAAGAATAGGTAGATGCATCAGTCTTTAGATGTACAGGTATGAACTTTCAAGAGAAACCAAAACGTCACCCATTAGACTGACGGTTATTTGATAAGAAATTGGTTATTTTAGTAGATCATTTGCCTTGAATGGAATTTCCTCTCATAATATATTATTAATAAGGTGATTCGCGGGGTGTGGTTTAGGTCCCACTGAAAGAGTTTTTTCTTCTTCTTTCTTTTATTCGCTGCGGACCCGTTTGGCATCTATAGTATATATACAGTAGCCTACATGCTTACCTAGAGCGGCTATCGTGCTGATGAGTGTCATAGTGATGCTCAGTGTCAAATCGCCATCCAATAGGAAGCTGTATATGTTGCTAGCTCCGCCCCCAGGGCAACACCCACCGCAGAAGAACCCCAGCGCCATCGCCGTGTCAAACTGGACTATCTTAGCAATGGCATATGCAAGCTAAATAAAACAAAAGGGTCATTTGAATAATCTTCCACGTTGTTATTTTCAACTGGTGAAGGCAATGATTTTTGTTGTATTACTGACACATAACACGGTTAAAACATATGAAGTAAATTAGTTGTAAATACTCAATGCATTGTCAGATCAACCACTGAGGCTTCAATTAGCGAGGTCAAGAATTGGGAGATTTGACCTTTTTCAAATTAGACCTCGCATACAAATGCACACGTACGCAGAGGCAAAAACTCACACACATTGATACTCAGGAAATTGCTCGATCTGACCTAAATTTAAATTCTGAAATTTAAATTCTAATAGTTTCTATACAGTTTTCACGGTGGGATTGGTTACTGAAATGAGAAGTGGGAAATGGTCATCAGTTTTCAAGCGAGAAGTTCGGGTATCAGGATGTTTCAGTGAAGCTTTGATCCTTCCTAAGGCATTTTCAAAGTAAACAAATAAATGTCATATAATAAGATGTAAGACCAAATGCTGTCAGTTGATAAAATATGATTGATTCTATATGGAGTGCCTCGATATTTTTCGTATCCAGTGTTAGTTCCACCTTATTCACTGATCCAAAACACTATTTGCAACCAGTAAATGTAATATGATGTAAACATTGCATGGCTTAGTCATACATTGCTAGGCAATCACAAAAACTTGTTTTTAGTATATGTGGGACATGTAACTTATTTCTGAACTTTCTTTTCAAAACTGGCGGGGCGTTATTTCTATTTTTTACTTCGCTTACAGGTCGAGATACCCTACAACTTCAGCGGAACGATGGCTATTGTCAGCTCTAGTTTCTTCATTGCTCAAGTTCTATTGTCCGTCAAACTTTGATTTCCGTCAACATTGAATTTTGTATATCAAATTCACGTGAAAGCATTATTTTGCTTACGGTGGGTAAATGTCTGTGAAATTCTTCACGCACAGTTCTTCAAAACTAAACTTATTAAACACGACCGTTGACTTCGATGTCGATGCTAGTGGTACCATATAAATAGGACGCTTTGATAAAGGTTGTTCATAAAGATATATGAATTATAAAAATCTGACCTTCATTAAATTGGACAGCGCTAAGTAACTTAGGTTTACCACCATATAAACACACACAAATGCACACACGTGCTCACACACACACACACACACACACACACACACACACTGATACATGTACGTACACATAAACAAATAAACATACTCGCACACACCCACATTACTGCTTATCGTGTGTTCCTCAAACAAAATAAAAATGTTGAGAAATCCCCCTCCCTTCTTTATCAAAAATTCAGTTTTGCTATTCTTAACATGAAAATAAAACATAAATTGAAGGCAAGCATACTATGATTAACAGGAGAACTAAAATAAATGTTTTGCTAAACTAAGACTGGGTTCCCACAGATTTAGTTCGATCCATCTGGATCGACCTAACTCCCTGGGGTTCACGCTAAATTGCTGTCAGCTTCCGGGAGCCGAGCGCGCACATAAGTTAATAACTCCCTTACAGCTTTTAGTAGGCGGGACAGACATTTAAGCCAGTTAAGCCGACAGCAATCTAGTGGGACTCCCCAGGGGGATAGATCGATCTAAATATCTGTGGGAATGGTCTCTAACTAACCAGCGGCATAAGAACATATTGACACCCAAACCCGGTCACGGGCCCTATAGGTTTCTTTAACACTTCCTTAACAACTTCCAAGTCCGCCTTGCACCCCATCCCCATCGTGCTGAAGAGCACGAACGCTGTCACCACGACAGTGAACGCTGTATCTAGCCACCTCGGCTTTCTAATGACCACCACGCCGTAGTCCACCGGCAGGAATTTCGGCTGATCCTCCCTGCCGGAGGGCTCAGAGGAATTCCGAAATACAAAAAATCTCAGGCTGGCTCTTCCGATCAGAACGGCGCGTAGAGAAACGTTGGCGGCCGAGACGGAAACGTTTGATCCGTCCCTTGGCTGTGACGTTCCTAGCACGCTCAGAGATTCATCGCCGTTGTTGCTGGTGTTGACGTAGTTGTACTTTATACTGTCCGGTGCGCGGTCAACGCCAGGTCCCATGTTAAGGACAACCGTGTGTCCTGTTAACACTTGAAATACGCGGTCATCGCTGGAGTGGACATGCAGCGTCCATGCCACGTCGCCTGACGCACCATCATTGTATTCAGTAGGCACAGTGAAATTGAATTCGACCACCGAGTCATAGTCCATATATACTGTGACTGACTTTGAAGGGATGAAATTGAATTGGACACTTATGTTTCCGTCCACTGAGTTAGCAGACAAGGTGTCTGGATCGCGATGACCACTGTCCAGGATATTCTCCATTTCTAACGCCGTTAACGCGGTCACTAACAGAAGACATACGACACACCCTAGAGCACACGCGTGCATCTTCGACGTATGTCCCTGAGAAAATCGTTTGGGAGGCAAATGTGCCTGGTCAGGTAAAAAGATGGGACGCTGAAATTGATACCATGCGATATATTGCAGAGGTCTGACTTGTAAAGACGCATCTGCAATACTCTTAAAGGGGTTTATAGTGATTTACTGGGGCGCAAAGGAGCTATTATTTAAATTATCAAACACTACAGTGATACACGAAATGTGTGTTGTGCCGTTGAGCCACTCGAGACGTGTTCGCATGGGAGATAAGTCGACCTTACTCGGCACGATCCTATCCTCTGGGGCGTGTGAATCAGTTACACGTAGTCTTACACTTGAATTTCTTTCACACGATTCCCGTTGGCCTCGCAGTTGAATAAAGCACGAGATTGCTATAAGCATCGGTTTTAATCTAGATAATCCAGTCATGAAAGAAGTCTTTCTGAGAGTGAACTACCTATCTGCCACGTGAACGCGACTTCTGACAATCTGACTTCTCGCTTGATCTTAGCGATTGTGCAAAAGACAATTCACCTCGGTCTAAGGTGTTACAGAATACGCTACTCTTGAATGATGCCCAGAAATCAATACCCGGGTTACAGTAGAAAATGCGGCACAGTGTCCAACTTCCCCTGCCCCCCCCCCCTTCCCCACACCCCATTAAACGTGATAATTGTGTAAAATCATTTCTTTACTCCTCTCTCTGTCTCTCTCTCTCTCTCTCTCTCTCTCTCTCTCTCTCTGTGCAACATCTGTCAAAGAAATAGAATAGCGTTATAAAAAACAGTATCAAGCCAGTATATATAACTACTGGTCTAGTCGTGGCACCTTAAGGTTCAGAGGTTGCTGTATTCAACTAAAACTGAACAAAATAGGCCAAGATGATAGTAGAAGTTTGCATTTCATGCCGAAAACTTATTCGTTCGTAAACATTATATATTTTGGCATGGTGAAAATATAAATGCAATATTGGAGACCGGAGAATAATATGGACTTTTCCATTAATTTTATTTTCCTGAAAAATGTTCTTGTCAGGCAGGTAAAAAGAAACATTTTGATAAGGAAATCTCGCACTTTACTTGCCAGGTGAGTACATTGCTGTTGGTGTGACGTCGATTGTGTTTCATTCATATCTGCTGTTCATAACCCGTGAGGGGTGCAGCCCTTCCCTTTCCCCCGACAGGCAGACTGCATTGCCATGTCTACCTCGGTCCACCATAGTCCACCACCATAGTCAAGACACCTCAATCGTATTAAACACTAAATGTCCTTTTCAGGGTGTCATGTATTGTCCTCGGTACACAGATAGCTAGGGACTTGGAATGTCCTTTTTAGGGTACCTAAGTGGAATTCTGTGGACACGGTTACGTAACGATCTCACAGCACGTAGGCGAGACACCAACATCTCTATCCACTACTATGTTCTCTCATTATTAAAAAATGATTGCTTAGGCAAGAAGCCATATACCCTATAGGAGCTACCTTCAACCCATCCCCACTCTGCAAGGGACGCTGTCAAAACTCACGTCCTCAGAGGCCCAGCTCTGAACCGTGTTATTTTGATAAAGTGGATTTAAACTGGGGCATGAGCCGACCACCCCCTACACATTAAAACGGGAGTTTGTGTAAAAACAGGAGTAATTTCATTCTGTGTTAACATTTGTTTAATTATCTTCTGGTTTATTTTATGATAAAGTGTCGGTATGCTTCAGGGGTTTCGGTGAATCACAAAGATATTGTTTTTATCTGTTTCACACTGGGAGCAAGTAGACTGATCTGAAGTATTATACATGTACATCTCTCTCTCTCTCTCTCTCTCTCTCTCTCTCTCTCTCTCTCTCTCTTGGTAGAAATACATTAACACCTTGTCTGAAAACACAAACTTGTTTTGTGGCCTCTGGAAACATATTTTTCCATAGCACTTAGTGAAAATCATATACCGCAAAGACGTACTCTGAAGCCCGATCTAGTTTCCAGAAAACATTCTCCACTTAACGAGTACTACATGTAGTGCTAGTACGTTCACTTAAACTGGTAAATAATTACGTGACTTAATAATTATAATAATAAAGTACTGGTGAAATCACGTGCCCAAAGTATGATATACGTACCTCAATTGAATCGTATACCTTAATTTTATTGCCCAATTAAATCACCCTTCCATAAAATAATATTTTAATTACAATATAGACGTGTCTATATATATATATATATGTAAGTTCTTGTTCAGACATGAAATTAAACCCAGACTGGTTTGGGACTAGATTTGACAAATTGAACTGACAAATTGATATGCAGCAGGATTTCTTATGAAAAGCCCGCTTCAAATGTTCATACCGATTTCCAAAACTTTTAATTCCTCAGTTTCAAATCACAGGACTATCAATAATCGTTAAATAAGCATTACCCTGAAAATGTACACCCGTTTACACATCAGTTTAGGCTCGCTGCAAGCCAGGATCACATCAGGTTTGAAAAGTCCACATCAGTACAATGTATGCTGTTGACAAAAGATTTTCTAAAATCGTATAAGGACCGATCGTGCCGGATTCTCCAAAGTGCAAACGAGCCTAGCTGGGGCTGGAATAATTCCGTCTCAATAAGAAACGTAAGGTTGTGACTTTTGCCGAAATGTGCAAGTTTTAAAGAGCAACCTGTTTACAGTTTCGCATACCTGAAGTTGTTTTAAATGAGCTTGTTTGTTTACTGAGATACTGTAAATGCCCGTCAATAACTACATAAAGGGTGACTTAATCGGTGCTTGACTAATGAGTTTTTCTTTTTTTATTGGATTTCATTATTGCTACCATCTGTGACTTCATAATATCTCACTAATTGTATCATGCCATATCTCTAAATGGCATCAGTAGAATTAATAGCACCATCGCGTGTCACGTTTCTGCTGAATAATGTCCATAAATACTCTCCATTTGCGTTAGAAAACCAAAGGTCTTGACATAAGCTGGTTTCAAAAACAAAAATAGAGAATTCATATCCGTATGTTTGGGGATAAACGTGAGCATGTCATGCATCGAATGCGTTTATCACGACTTAAGACAAACCGAGTTGTTAACGTAGTGGTCGCATTGCCTTCAGGTACAACAATCATTTATACACATTTAGTCATCAGGGTTTTCTGTGAATGAAATTTTCTCAAGGCAAATTTTTGTATCCATTTTATTTGTTTGTGTACAACGTGTTTGGTAAAATACACGTCAACGATGATTAATTTCTCTTTGTAGTTATTGATCAATGGATGCAAACTTGACTAGAGAGCGTTGTTACACATTCCTAAAACTGGGGATGTAAGTTAAATTTATAGCACACACGGGCGTTAGCTATGTCAATTTGACACAGAGAAGAATATGTTAGGACACTGAAACTCATGGCGCTTTTTATTTATTTTTATTTTTTTGATTAATTAATTAATTTATTTATTTATTTATTTATTTATTTATTTATTTATTTATTGTTTCGTGATAACGCTGTTCGATAGTACCTTAGTCGGCGTATATGTGTTGAAAGGATTTTGTTTCTTCTGTCATTTCTCAGCTTGTGAAACGCGGGAAGAAGTTAATTGCGTTCCAGTGTGCAGGAACCGTGAGAGACCAATCGTAGATTCCGCGTGCTCATTCTAGCATCACTTCGTCCATTTTTATTTGTACATTCTATTGCTGTTTTTGCGTTTTAATAGTAATTTATGATTATTCCATTGTGCAGTACAACTGTTGGAAAAAATTATGATAACAGTAATAATCGTGAGAAGGAGGAGGAGGAGGATAATTCTAAGCCATAAATCCATACCATTCTCAACGCCTTTTACTAAAGCGACTTAGACAATAGATAGAGAACCGGGAATTTATTATCTTTTGTATTTAGGGGTGTCCTACGTTGGTTCTACAAAATGCTGCTTTTTAATAGACGGTGGACGGCCACGTGGGATCGAGACAGAACTTGATGGTATATCGCCGCAGGCCTCACCATACTTCCCGATCAGTACCGTGTATTTGCGGGCGATCTGTGCGTCAAAGGTGTCTGTGAACTAGCAAAGGTGCTGATAACTTAAGCATAACCTAGAATACAGTTCCATTAGGATGATTTACAGGTAGCAGAATCGACAAGTGGTATTTTGCCGTGTTTAGTACTCAGAACAGTGTTATAAAATGAACGCTTCCAGTTAAAGTGCTCTGTAGGAATTCTGTGCTGAACGGTTATCACATCCAGGGTAGCTATAAATCTTGGAATGGGCTTCACAGCTACCTAGGCACACCGATGGCACTGACGTTTGCGTGGATGCAATTTCATACCTTTGATCATTTATCTTTTTTTTTTTTTCAATTGAACGTTCAGTCGAAAATATACAAGCCTTGGCCATAATGTGCTTGGACATTACTGTACCTCCTCATTTTCTTTCTTTTTTTTTCTTCAACAAAAACTTTCCCCTGGCCTCTTGATCTTTCATAACACACATGTCTGTTTCATGAAAACATAACTCAGATAGATATTTTCACAACATTCGCTGGAATAAAGAAATGCACCAACGTAAGAAATTAAAATACATGTATTTTATGATTTACGTTGCATGAAAATGAGGCCTCATAATCGAGTTTATGTTGCGTGTTTTCTCTGGGTGGCAATCTTTGTCAATTTTATTTCTGTACAGTGTTATCTGTACAGTGTTGTACAGTGTTATCTTTTAATAAATACAGTAGAGGAAATGTAATTCTTTCAACCAGTAACACTGAGAAGGATTATTATTGTTGTCTGAATTTTATTTCTATTTTAGTGACCTCTTTTTGGCGGTGACTCACATATAATATATTTGGAAAAAAATACTTACTAGGGTGTTACCTACTTCCCAAGTGTAGGTTTGTTTTTGCCACGGTTTTCAATGCGTTAGTCTATGTTTTCTTTTCGTTACGATTCGATCATCAAATTACCAAAGTACCTGAGCCATTTCGAAGTGAAGGTCCCACACCCTTATACCGGTCCGTATGTATGATGCACAGTGCACTTGGGACTAAGGCTACATTCACAGC